GGGTTGAGAGCAAGGAATAACTATGTTTTGCCACATACAATGGCAAAGCAGAAACAGGATCTGGATTAGGCACCTGATGTCTCTTAGGAATGGAGCAGGCTGCACCTTCACCCTCAGCAGTTTCTGCCTGAGCCCTGAGGCACCAAGGGTGCCAGCTCAGTGCCTGCAGGAATAATACTACAAAGCATACTCCTGCTGTTTTGAGTTTTATTTTTCATCTTTGCAGTCATAGGGCAGTAATTTGTCAGGCTCTTACAGAGCAGAGACAGCAGGACATGTTCTCCCCCGGTTCCACTGGTATGAATCATCTTGACATCTCTTCTGCAAGAGGATACTTATAACTCCCAATAAGGCCATAGGAAGCTGGTTTGCTCCAGCAGGGACAGCCTGCACCTGCAGTTCATCCACAGGTCCAAGCTTGCTGGGGCAGCCTCCTGCTGCTCATGCCCACTGCTGGAGGCTGGCAGGAACAAGACTGCTCTCTCAGCAGGAAGTCAGAAGCCAGACACCAAGAATTTTAGCTCTTTGGAATAGGTCTTTACCTAAATCACCTAATTACTTTTCATAAATCCTTCAGATCTTCATACAATACTTCACTGTATACTCCTGTGACCGGTGCTGAGTATTTAATTACATATTTTAAATGTAATTTATCTCTATAAGTAGATGTAACTTAATCATATTTCAGTTATTTTCATGTGTAGACCACAATATGCATGCTGTAAAAAAACAAGTGATCTTTCACCAGGTCAGAAAAGATAATACAGTAATGACTCCAGCCTAGAAAAACCAGATCAACCAGCTTTTCTGCTAAAGCCTAGACAAGCCTAAGCACAGTGGGGAGAATAAAATCCAACATTTTCTTTGTTTCAAATCCCCAGAACCACAGACTGGCAGATAGGTAGAAAAACATTGTGCTTCGTTTTGCAGAAAATGCACGGTAATAAGGATTTTGTTGAAGCTGTCACTGTCAAGTGATATGTTGAATTAAATATGGGGAATTAACCTTTGCAGCCCTAGGAATATACTTTTCTCTGAGCAAACAGTTGTGAAACATTTAGGCTTCCTTAATTCTCATGCCCATGGTCCTTGTTAATTTGCCATTTGTATTAGCAATGATAGCTAATACACCAAGTAACTGTAACAACCACACAGAATTTTTACAGATTTCAAATCAAAGTACTGCTGCTCTGGCACTTCAGCGTTTTATACTATTTTGCAAAAGACGTTTCTTGACCATTAGAAGACTATACAGAGGTAAGATCATAGGCTTTACTTGGACTTAGCAAGGAAGCTGGTGGGTGTTGAGTTCATGACCAAGCCTGAGGAAACTTCCCCCAGCTATGAGGGAAACTGGCAGGAGATGTCCAGCCTCACCCTGCTGCAGAAATGTTCAGCTGTGAGGGAGGAAGAAAAAGGGGAAACAGCTCCTCACTCAGCAAGTGCCAGAATCATGAGCTCAGATGCCTTAAGCGCAGCAGAAATAGTGCCAAGCAATAGCACAAGAAGCAATGAGCAGAAACCTGGTGCACAGGAAGTTCCACCTAAATATGAGGAAGAACTTCTTTACTGTGCAGGTGACCACTGAACTGGAACAGACTGCCCAGAGAGGTTGTGGAGTCTCCCTCACTGGAGATATTCAAGAACCATCTGGACACAATCCTGTGCCATGTGCTCTGGGATGACCCTGTTTCAAGAGGGAGGTTGTACCTGATGACCCACTGTGGTCCTCTCCCAACCTGACCCATTCTGTGACTCCATGAGAAAGAAGGTCCCAGGAGGAACCATGTCTGCAGAAGACAAGCCCAGGCTTGCAGTGGATACTGAACTAGGACATGTGCAGGGGTGTGAAGCCTCTGTAAGAGGGAATTGGAAACAACTGGCCATCAAAAAAAGTGGTGAAGGACAGGTTCTCCCTGAATGTTGTTATGCCTGCATCTTGGGATGAAGTATCTCACTTCATGGAACAGTCACCTAGCCACTAAAGAAGTGAAAATTGCCTGGGACTAGTGCAGTTCAGCACAACTGGGGTAAGCACTACTGTCAGAAGGAACTATTTCACCCCTTAAGAAGGAGTTAACTGCTTGCTCCTTGCATTAGGAGATGATTAACAATCCAAGTTCTACTTCCACACTGTGCATATGCCAGAAAGACACTGGTTTGGGTTTTAGGCAGAAAGAGGGTAATACCTTGGAGTTTTGATGTTTCAAAAAGGTTTCCTGATTTCAAGCCTTGCAGTAATAGCCCCACATTTGCAGTGGGCTCTGGTACTGCTGCACTGTGCTCAGGATGTTGGGGTACAGTATTGTGTGGAATCACTTCCCCCTGGAAGTGATTCCCCCTTCCTTTGCCACCCCAAAGGAAGTATGGGCCCAAACAGGAACAATGTTGCATCTAGACGTTGCAGTGAAGTTCCTACATGGCACTGTTGCAAGGCAGACAGAAGCACTGTTTTCTGTCCTTGCCATCCTCTAACAGTCTTTCATTTTCACCTCTTAAATGATAAAAGTGGCTGCTGTGCACATGCACCAAATAACTTGCAAATCCCAACAACTCTACTTACTTTGCTTCTAAACATGCATGGATTAAGCATTTTCATAATCTAGATCATGACACTGCTACTTATCTGGAGTTTAAATGTTTAACAAATTTCAGCTAAGTACAAGAAAAAGTATTTTTCTAAATGTGAATAATAACTATGGCAATGTTGTTCATTAAAGTTAAAAATAAATTAATCCAATTGGAAATTAAATAATTAAATCACAAATAGTTATTTTACAAAACCTGAATTCTCTCCTCAAAATATAATGATGAAATAATAAAATTATTTTTGGTCATAACATTAGATATTTTTTTAATATGGCAATAGTCTTTAATTTTGGGCCAATTAACAGTATTGAATATGATAAAGTGTTTGTGGGTTTCCCCTGATCATGCAGACACTGAGAGGTGGGGTGAGACACTGGGAGGGGATGAGGGTGTATGCTGCCACACTGAGTAAACACTGTGAGAACAGACACGATGGCTGTGTGGAAAGCCTGTGACTCAGCACAGCTGGCTGGATCTCCTCACATCCTTCTTAGTATGGGGTGTTTCCAAATAATTTTCTGGAGTCCTGGCCAACTGAGATGTTTTTCCATTAAGCTTATTTCTTTGCGGACACTGTGCTCTGCTTCTAGATAGACCCCAATCCTACTGATAAAAAAATTAAAGAAATAGTTCCAATCTCTGCGTTTTTTAACAAATAACCCCTAAGTAGGACAAAATCAGTCCCCTTCCCCTAACACAGATTTCTTTTCTCCTTCAGCCTTTCTAATATGGCCATCCCCAAGCCACAGCTAACAATATCTGTTCTCAATTAAGGTATGTCACAAGGTAGCATGGATGGTCCTGCCCTATCCTTCCATGGATAACTTCTTAATGCAGGGTGCTCTGCAAAGGCAGTTTAAGCAGTGCCAGCACCTCTCTGAAATTGTGAGCTTTACTGCAGTCCACTGTAGTGGGTGCTCACCCAGCTGAACCCACAGATCCTGTCAAGACATAACAGTTATTTTCCCTGGAGTGGCTCCAGGAGTCCTCTCTGTCAGCAAAGTGTGCCTTTGCCAAACAGGCAGAACGAAACACAGAGAAGCACTGTAGGACATCAGAGTGGAACCTAAATGACTTCCATAATTCCACATGGCCATATTAAAGTTCAACCTATATCTCAGAAGAGCCTGAGAACTGGGGCAAATGACCACACTCCTCAGAGGAAGACCCACTCAGCTGGATATCAGCCACAACAATCACCATATGCAGTAGCAGGTGCTCAGAAAGAAAAAGAACATAAATGGAATTTCCCCAACTACTCTCTCACTCAAATACTACATTCTGCTCAGGGAAATTCCCAAGTCAATTACAGTTTGTCTCTTTAATAATCCTCAATGGATCTCTCTTTCAAAATGTTGCACAGCCTTCCGAGGAACTTCCAGAAACCTCTTCTTGCATGCCCAGCATCATTTGTCAAGAAGCTTCACAGGCTTCCTATGTGCTGGATGTCTTTTGTGCCATGTTTTTTATATTTGAACTTGGTTGCAAGTATTTGAGTGGGCAACCCAACCCCAGCTGTGTAGTACAGGATGTGAACACACTGAAGTGTTCTCAGCTACCTAGTCAGGTCTTTTACAAAAGTTATTCAATACTTTCTATCATGTGCCAGAAACATAGTTGGCTTCTATCCTAAATTGTTAATGTGACTTGATCACCATATTGTATGTTATGGCCAGGTGTAGGGGTTAAGTTAAATCGTGTTCAATGTAGCTTTCATGTAGCTGTTGCTTTATTTCCATGATGTTAATTTATGGCATAAAACTACAATAGCCAAGCTATTAATCCCTGCCAAATCAGACAATGCCAAAACAATTCCTTTTACTTGCAGTTCTGCCTCTTGAACTCTAAGGCCATGTACCATTTAAATGTCATAAGCCAGGACTGCTGCCTGGCATGAGCTGCCTGACCCACTCAGTTCCCTTGGAGTTTTTATGCACATACCTGAAATACTTCCTCTTTTACATCAACATAAGCATGCTATCAACCAGACTAGAGAACTGATCTTGTTAAAATTCTGCATCTTTTTGGATGAGTATCTCAAGATTCTTATGTAGTTGTTCCAACCTATGGGCCAGCTCTCACACAGGTGGTATGGGATACTGCAAGTCCACACACATTGTGAGAAAAAAATCCACTTCGGCCTTTCAAGTAATTTTCTTTTCCTTCATCCTGCTACCAGATGGCAGTTGCAATATTTCACTATCATGATGACTAGAAAAGTTACAATTTTTCATGTCTTATTTAGATCACTGACAAATTATGAACATATGTATACAACTTGGATATGGTGACACATCAGCTTAACAGTTAGGTCAAATGCTCAGAATGGAATCAGAAGTTAATAAACACATGATTCTGTTAAAATTTTCACAATTAGTTAGGAAATGTGGTCAAAATACCATATTTCTTACCTGCAACTTGCAGAGCAATTCAGACTAGGAACATATCATAAATTTCCAAAAGCTGCAGAATAAAAAAGGGGAAATAATTGATACTCTACAAACCAGTTTATCTTCCATTTTGGAAAATGATATTGTGATTCAACAAAACATATTTTCCTATCTATTAAAGCAATTATGACTTTTAATTATTTAACATATTATTACAGGTTGGACTCAATGATCTCAGAAGTCTTTTCCAACCTAGTTGATTCTGTGATTCTTTTATTACAAGTATCAATTTTCAAGGATGAATAAGAGACAGGTCCTAAAAACAAAAAGTTAGTTAAGCAACCACAAATTACTATTTAGAATAGGAGGGTTTTCAGATCTAGAAATTTTGTTCTCAAGTCTTCCTTCACTTTACAATATTGGAATTGTTCATATAACTATTACATCAGTAAGCACTGTTGTGAATTAATGTCACATCCATCTGTTCAAACGAACTAAATGCTTGGCACAGAGACCTTCTATGAGGGTCTCAGAATTAATTGCTGTTTTGTTCTTTGCAACTATCATTTGGAATCTAAAAACATACTCTGATTAGACAGATTCTAGCATTAGCAAGTGCTTAATTGGTGCACACAGGATCTCACTGTTGCCATTAAATGGATGCATTCATTCACAACTGAGAATGGCATTACTGCTTGGGCAAATCCTAAGTTCCTCTGGAGCCATCAACAATTCTCAGAGTTCATCAATCCCTACAGCTGTTCAAAGCGATATCTAGACTGTAATATTTACATAAAGTCAATAAAACCAAGGTAATCGAAACCAACACCTTCTGAAACTGACACACGCAGAATGCACTGGCCAAATCACAGCTCACATTCTACTGCCTGTTCACTGCAGCAGCACCTATGTGACTACGGTTTAAGTTAAAGCAAGCCTAGAGGTTTAACTTGGTGTACATCTCATGAGACTGTTCAAAGGAAGACTGTTCTTCCTTTCATACAACTCTTCTTCAGCCCATCCTTACATCTCCACTTACACTTTTCTCCTCTGTACATTTGCTGTGGATTTACTTAAACATTGCAAAGTATGTTGTAGTTCTGCTGAGGTCTCAAGATGAAAGGATCTTGAGGGGTGGAAAAAAAATGTTTCCAGGTCACCACTTGATTTGTGGATTCGTTTTTCATATGCATCCCCTAGAAGTGATCTAGAAGACAGAGGAAAAAACTTCTTCTGCATTCTGGGAACTGTAGTGTAAGCCTCCCAGAGTTCAAAAAGTGTTTGGACAATACTCTTGGGTACATGGTGTGACTCTTGGGGATGGACCCATGCAAGGCTAAGAGCTGGACTCAGTGATCCTTGTGGGTCCCTTCCAACTCAGCATATTCTGTGATTCTGTGAGAAGCAGTAACTGTGTGGTACCAGAACAACACTCAAAAAATACAGATGCTTCTAGTAAACTGAGAAACACAGAAAGGTTGGTGGAATCAGATGTATGGGTAGGCAATCCCATTCTGCAGGATGGTAGGAGTTGAAGAAATAACAGAAGTGAACAAAGGCAGTAGAAAAGCCAGGAGTTGGCCCAATGCATGCATTAGCATGTCTGTAGGTTATTTCTACAGTGGGTTACTCTTACTCTGCACTGCTAATAATATGCCCACAAGTTAGAGAAGGAATCAGTTCAGAAAAGTCATGATAAAGCCAGGAAACCATTTTGTTTGTATGGTGTTCTCCCAACCTGGAGTAACTCAAGATAGGCAAAAGGACAAACCCTTTGAGATCATTTTGGAATTGCATTGTTTAACTTCAGATCTATCTATGCATTTAATCTTGCTGTCCAGAAAGAGAACTGAGAGGTTATAGTATCCCTAATAACCATGTTCTTTTTCTGACATTCTTGTGTTTTAAATGTAGAAGGAATAATATAAATGAAGACTGAGAAAAAAAATTATTCAACAGTTACCCTCTGGGGAAAAGTGTAACTCACACATGATTACGACCAAATGTGTTTTGTACACAAGATTAATTTCTCATTAAGTTATTTCTTGTCAGAGGATATTCAAATGTCTGGCAGCACTGGCCACCTATGGCCTCCTACGCAGATTTTGTTTTGTGATTCCCCACTTTCCAAAATTTGACTATGATTTAATCAGCTCCCAAATCTCTGAGACAACATTTTGGATACTGCTCTTTGAAGGTGACCAGCTGGGTGATTTAATGTCAGTCTACTCTTTATCTCAGACTCAAAAAGCACAGTTACCCCAGTGTTCACCAAACTTTGTGGACTGTAATTGGCATTTTTCCATACCTGCCTGTTGTCTAGCTCTTCAAAAGAGGTAAAAATAACATGGGGTTTCTTAGAGTTCTACTGACATTCTGAAACCTAGTTGGTGGTGTTCTCCTTCCATGCCCCACCTAATGCTTCTCCCTCTGGGCTCCTATCCTGATCGGAAAAACTGCTGTCATCTGTGTGGTGGAGAAGCAAGAATGCAGAGCAGCTTGAACAAGCTTCTCTCCCAAAAGGTAAAAACATGATGAATCTAAACAGGATACCTTGCTGTTGCCTGACATGATTGCTCAGTAATGAGGAACATGACCTAGGAATCTGCAGTTTCCTAGCCAGACTCAGATTAGACAGGGCCTAGATAGCATTTCAGTACCTTTTTTTTTTTGAACAGAGGTGCAACACTGCAAAACCACTGAGAGTGACTCACAAGGTAGAACATTATGTCAAAACTTTTTCTATTTCAGATTCCAAACAAAAGTAAGACCACTGAGGTCAATGCAATAAAAGACTGGGTTTTTATTTGGCTAGAAACATTGCTGTAGAGTAACTAATGGCTGCACTGTGCTCAAGGCATCACTTGCTTCTCCTGCCAGGATGAACTACATCATTCCTGTTCATCTAAACTGTTTTAAAAGTGCCAGTGATGGAGGTCCTATAAATTCTCTAGAAAGTGAGTGCTCAATAAAACTGGTGCCAATTGTCAAAATGTTTTTCCTAATATTAGCTTTGCTAATATTTCAGCCTACTCAGTGAACATGGAAAACATGCTGCAGCCTTGGACATACTGTAAGTACCATCAGGTCTCCCCGTGATCTTCTTTAGGCCAAACAAAATTGCTACAAACATTCTTCAGATTGTTCCAATTGTTCATATCATCTCTGGGCATTTTTCCCTAGAGGATAGGCAGGATAAGAAATCAGTACTAGCTACATAGTGGTATCTTGAACATATCTATGTGCATAAGTAGAGGTGCAAGTACAAGATCATCTGTATCATCATGAGCACACTCCACGCAGTGCATCCAGTGAAGGACTGGATATAATGTCATAACAAAATCCCTCTCAAAATGCATATGCAAAAGCATACTGAATTAACTTTGAACATAGGCCCAAATCAGAGCCTCTCCTAACCTTCAATTGCTTGATTTTGGTACCTTAAAATGCTTTTTTCATGTAGCTGTAGGCATACATGAAAACAGACATACCACAGGTTAAAACTTATCACAGATTCTTATCACCAAATATTCTGATTTGGAAGGGACCCACAAGGATCATCGAGTCAAACTCTTATGAGAATGGTCCATATGGGAATCAAACCTGCAACTTTGGTGTTTTTAGCACCAGGATCTAACCAACTAAGCTAATCTTACAGTCAAACAACTGTCGACCCAAGTGCAGTAGTCCTATTTTACATTCTGACTAGACCAAGCTGTTTTGTTAAATTCATAAGTCCCCTGTCACTACCAGGTCATGGTGAACAAGAGTCACAGTTGTACTTCTATTGCCAGTGTGAAGTCTGGTTTGGGACATCTATTTCTACCCCTAGGCACTGGGCATAACTAAGCTTTTGTTCTAGACCTTTAACCCCTTTTCTTTGTCAGGTCTCCAGCCCTAGCTTTGGAATCTCCTGACTTTTGAGAAAAGTGAAAATTCTCAAAGTATTTAAGGCCAAACATAGGAATAAACACAGGACACTGCTGGCAGAAGGTCAGGAAAGTCAGGATGATAGCCAATAACCATTAAGAGATCACCTCAGACAACCCATACGACCAATCCTTTCTGACCCCAAAATGCCAAGGGTTTCGTCAAATTGAAATGAGTTATCAAAACACTTACAATACCCACAGCACTGGTCTTGCACTACTAAAGGAGAGCCTTGCTGTACCTTAGTACACTCAGGTGCTCTCCTAGTTTCTAAGATGCCAGGTGGCTAGCCTGAGGACAGGCTAAAGCACTGCGAGTTAATGCACCAGCTCTTCTGAATAAAAAGTTAAATTAGTTTTTAAAATTAAATTCCTCACATTGTTCATTTGACCCAAACTTCACCCTCCTTCTCAAATCCTTACACTGGCTGCATTCTTTGAAGGATATTTTAAGTGTTTGTGCCAGCCCTACAAGACATATTGATTTTAAAGCTAATTTCAAAAAGTTATTTTTTAACTTCAAAAACTAAAGTTTTCTAATTTTAAAATGTATTTTTATTTCCTCTCTCTTCCAGAACCAAGGTCTTCTTGCTCCTTAAAAGAAATACATATCTTTGTGTCAGATATATGGCATGAACAGCCACCCCTTACCTTCTCCCCCAACAGATATGTGGTATGATTACAATATACTGCACAATATATATTGTAACAAAATATATATATTTGTAACCAAAAAAATGTATAGTAGAAACCCCAAGAAACTAGCCATTTGTCATGGAGAATTAAGGTTTAATAAGCATCTACAGTAATGTCCTTAGACTTCTTCTGGCAGTTGTAGTTACTACAGTTATTCTTAAATGATAAACAAGTGTGAACAATAACACAATTGTTTTGTGTTTATTTATAAATGTTACATTTTCTTTCCTAATGTTTGATAAATGACACACTATAACTGCAAATAGGTTTGACAAATCTTCTTCAATACAGGCATATAAAATCAGCAAGGTTTGATATTACTCTGTACAGAGGTCCTAATGATATAAACAAGGGCAAGACCATTTTTTGTTTCTATTAAATGTTTTTTAAGTCATAAGAAAAAACTCATTTATAGACTACAAACAGGGAATCTTCCTAACAAATATTATATCTGCTGAAGGTGTTAGCTAGGAACACTAACTCCTCAATAAATTAAATAGAACAAAGCCAGTACAAAAGCCTGGTGAGCACTGCACAAATGAAGTATTGGGATCTGCTTCCAAGTGCCAAATACCCTTAATTTTTTATAGAATCATAGAGTTATTTGGGTTGGAAAAGACCATTACAGATTATCTAGTCCAAGATGTCCCATCCACAAGGTCTCTGGGCAACCTGATCCTGTGTCTCACCACCTGCACAGTAATGAATCTCTTCCTCATATCTTGTACAAACCTACCCCCTTTTATCTCAAAACATTAGCTCTTGTTCTATCTCTGTAGGCCCTGGTGAAATGTCTCTCCCCATCTTTCTCATAAGCCCGTGTTAAATACTGAAAGGTCTCTCTCATAAGGCAGATTGATAGTTCTACATTAAAGCTGCCTGACATTCCGTCTTATATTCCCTTAATTTTTTAATTGTTTGAGAATCTAATGAATTGTTTGTAAGATTTTGAAGAGAGATTTTCTTCACATCAGTTACATGTTCCTGACAACCTGTGAGAAACTAGAAAAACTATAAATCTCAGTCAGCATAGTTTCCTTATACTCAACAGAAGCAAAGTCCAGAGCTGCATTTCCAGAAGATGCATTTGCAGTGACTTCTACATACAACCATAGGGCTTTTCCAGCTGCAGCTCTGGCCTGTTGTGGGACAGTCCAGAGCAGATTTTGTTTAGCAACAGTAATGAATTCTTTTCAGACCCTCACACTGTTGCTGGATCCAAGCTTTGAATCTAAAGGGGGCAAAATGATGGGCTGAATAAATCAAGTTTTGGAAAACAAAGAGTGAAAACTGTGACTGGGCACTGGCAGGAGAGCACTGACTACAGCAGAACCAGATGAGAGAATGACTGATCACTCCTTAGTATTTGAGATCCGAGAGGAAAAACTCTGGAGACCAGTAAAGGGAGATTAGATAAAAAGCCACATGAGAAGACTACAACTGACTGGACAAAGTGATTAAAAGCAGATATGGATATTTCAATGGATATTTAATATCCATGGACTAGTTTATAATGGTAAAGTAAACAAAACAGCACTGAAACTGAGGCAGAAAGAGACAAGGAGGGAGTCTGGAGGGATGGGCTATGACTTTCCCAGTGCTTAGCAAGGAGGCTGAAACTTAGATGAGAAATCTGTAAACAGTCTTAGCTGGGTGGATGACGAATAGGAACTGTGCTTTACCTTGTAACTGTGCAGTAACTTGTAACAAAGATTCAAAACCAAAAGGCCCTGGATGTTGACTCAGACACTAAAAACTTCCCAGTTTATTGACCTTTGTACTCCATTTTTCCTCTGTAAAATGGAAACAATGCAGATGTCAACTCCCAGCTGTATTTCATGACAATCACTGAAAGCCCTCAAAAAGAACAACTTTTCTCTTCAGAAGAACATAGAACAGAGTATATTCATAACATAATCACTCAATAGAGGAAAAAAAAAAGAAAATTTTTTCACTTGGAGCCAATAAGGCCAATGGCATCCTGGGGTGCATTAAGACTATTGCCAGGAGGTTGAGGGAAGTGATCCTGCTCAGCCCTGTTCAAGCCTCATCTGGAGTGCTATGTCTAGTTCTGGGCTCCTCAGGATAAGACACAGAGCTCCTGGAGTGGGTCCAACAGAGAGAGACAAAGGCTGAGGGAGCTGGGCCTCTTCAGCCTCAAGAAGAGATGTCTGAGAGGGGAACTCATCAATGTCTATTAATATCTGAAGGGATGATGCCAATGGAATGGAGCCAGGCTCTTCTCAGTGGTGCCAAGTGATAGGACAAGAGGCAATAGGCAGAAAGTAGAAAAGAGAAGTTCCACTCAAACATGGAGAACTTCTTTTCTGTGAGGGTGAGCACTAGAACAGATTTCCCAGAGAAGGCGTGGAGTGCCTTCTACAAAGTTCAGAAGCTGACTGGACAGGACACAATGCCGTGCAGTGGGTTCCAGGGGACCCTGCTTAAGCAGGGAGGTTGGACCAGATGACTTTCTGTGGTCCGTTGTAAGCTTACCCATTCTGAAATTCCATGATTCTGTGACATTATAACATGGAAGAGTAAGAAACCTGGAATGCTAAACATAGTATGAGTCAGCTAGAGTAATGTACTCACGCAAAACCCTCCTCGCCCGTGCTAGCGCGACCCAGAACAGTCCTGCTCTGCTCTGCTCTGTGGTGGCCACTCAATCAGCGCTCCTCGGCTGTAGCGGGCAGCAAGCTGGTAAAGCGCAGCTGCCGCAGGCAGGACCCCCACCGGCAGGCTCGGGGCCGTAGGAGGAGGCGCAGCTTAAGGGGCTGAAGCGCCGGGTCTCCCGGCACCTGCTCCGCCCCGGCACCGGCCAAGCGGGCGTGAGGCGACGCGCGGGACTAACCGCCCGCCCGCGGGGGCTTCGGGGCACCGCCATTTTGCGGGGTGGCGAGCTGACACGCTGGACGGACCCTCCCGCCATTTCAGACATAACCCCGCCGCCCTTCGTCGGGGGGACGGGCTCAACCCGACCCGGCCCGGCCCGGCCCGGCCCCGCCCGCCTCCTGGCTGGTCCCAGCCCCGGCCGTGCTATCCGCCTCTCCCTTCTCAAGTATCAGGTGAAACTGGTCGGCAGTGCGGGCGAAGTGGTGGTGGCCGGAGCGGGGTGAGAGGATGGCTGTCCGTCGCGGGTTGTGCCTTCTGCTGCTGCTGCTCTGTGCGCTGCTGGGAGCCGCCACCGCTGCAGGTGAGATGAGCAGCTGCTGACGGAAACCGGAGCCGTCCGCCCGGCTGGGAGCAGCGGGGGCGGCCGAACCCATGGAGGGTGCTGTGCTGGCCGCCCCTCACCTGCGGGTGGGCTGCGGGCGGGGGCACAGCGGGCCTGGTGTCTGGACCCCGGCTGGGCGGTCCCGGCCCCGCGGACTGGGAGACGTTCCCGCAGAGTCGAACGGGTTCGGAAAACTCGTGCGGGTGGCTGTGGGGCTGCCGGGAGCTGCGGGATGAGCTCCCCGGCGGTGGAGAAAGCGCTCCACGGGCGAGCAGCCGGGGGCGGCTCCCTCCGCAGGGCTTGTGGGGCGCGCGTGGCTTGGCTTCACCCGCTCTAAAGAGAACCGCAGGATGGCCAGAGTTGGAAGGGACCGTAAAGACCATCTAGTTCCAAATCACCTGCCACGGGCAGGGACACCTTCCATTAGACCAGGCTGTTTAAAGCCCCATCCATCCTGGCCTTGAACTCTTCCAGGGATGGGGCATCCACAGCTTCTCTGAGCAACCTGTTCCAGTGCCTCACCACCTTCACAATGAAGAATTTCGTGCTACTATCCAATCTAAACCTACGCTGTTTCAGTTTAAAGCCATTCCCCCTGGTCCTGTCACTACAGCTTCTTATAGCTCCCCCCTTTAGATAAACATAAAAAAACTATAAAGACTATGTTCTTGCTTTTTTTCCCGGTCTAAAAAGCTAGGATTTTTTTTTTCTCTGTATTAGTCTATATTGAACATAAGTGCTGTTTGGGGAAAAAAACCCAAAACACCATATTAATATTTCACTTAATTATTAACTTAATAAAGTTAAAGTTAATTTTTCACTACATTTTATAAGCAACCCCACTGCCATATCTACGCATGCCCTTTGCACTGTGCCTTTCTATTATTCTTCATTCTGGGCTTGTTTACATAATAAAAGCATACGCATAGAGGTTATGTAAATATTGAAGCCAAGCATATGATAGATCCTGTTTTCTCAAAAGTATGGATGCTAGGTTTATGTTTTTCAGAGCGGGATTCCTGAAACTAAACTGCCTTGTAGTAGTCTAGTTCTCTAACCTGGGGGGGGGGTGAGTTTGGAATTTTCGGAGGAGAGGGAAGAGGGAAAAGTAGTATGTTTAGAAGTTCTAACTGGGTACTTGATTTCCTGGAGTAGGGAGGTGAAAGGAGGTGAAGTGTGATCCCACCCCAACCAAGGGAGGTGCACTAAGCCAGGGGCTTATTGCAGCAGTTTTTAAACAGGCTGATGCCATTACGGCGTTGTGGCGAGTCTGGGTTGCACATCCAAAAACCGGGGTGATCTTAAACTCAGTCCTCTGTGGGTATTACTACCAGGACCTAAGCTAGTTAATTTTTGGATACTCAGTGCTGCTGTCGCTTTTGTGTCTGCAGGGTAGGCATAATCCTGCATTTGGAATGTAGTGGGTTATATCTTCTGGACAAATGGCAAAAGTGTTGAAACAGTCTTTTGTGGGAGGAGAGTACGCTTTTCCCGTGGGCAGATTATCAAATCAACTGCATTCTCTGTGTGTGAGTCACTCATGGTGAAACTCGGCTTGGAAAAGAGCTCGGTTGTTATGGAAAACGACAAGTGCTGAAAGAGTAAGGAAGGGATGCAGAAAATGCACATACCTAACAAAGCATTGGCTGTTCGGTGAGGGAGTGTTAACAGCAAAGAAACAGGACACTGCCTCTCTATTGCTAGTTGGGCTAACAAAAGCTGACCACTAAATGTGGTCAGAACTTCTGAAGCTCGAACTAAAGTCAGCATAAAATCAAGACTTGATCTCCAAAATCATCCATTTAGCTTGACTGTGTCTTAGAAAATAGAATAAAACAAACCTTTGTCTCTCTTCTGCTACTCTTGCAAAACTAAGCCCTATCTGTGGTTCATGTGTTTGTCCATCCACCCCCTTTAGTACAGATGTAACTATAATGTGTAACACTAACACTTTGGGGTTTTTGGTGAGCTTTTTTTTTTATGTTTTATAAACCTAACCTTTGAGCATCAATTGGAAAGCATTGTTTTATATCTGATCACAAAACATTATTAAGAACAAAGTGGCAGTATTTGCTCTTTAGTTTCCTACAATAATTTGAGTCTTTGGAATGGAATACAAATAGTATGACTGCAATTTGATAATATTGACCACTTTCTGATGGACACATGCTTACCATAGCACTGTACACTGCATTTTATTATGGTATCCTGAGAACTGCTACCAGCTTGGAATAAAGGGTCTGTTTCCAAGCATCTTCAGGATCTTTCTTATCTGAACTGTAAGGCTGAGAAAAACAGCATTCCTTAGCTAATTATCATTTCAGTATCTGATAACTGCATAAGCTGTGTCCTTCAAGCTGGTTTTATGGCTTCTCCTATTCACAGCTCAGGTTAGGGACCTGGAATATTGCTGCATTATACACTTAAAGTTTCCAGTCTTTAACATGTAAATAAACAATTTTCACAGTTGGGCTGCTTTTGAGAATCTATGCTGGGAAACACACATACTTGTGTATTTACATATTTCTTAAGTAAAAATTCTCTCAAATTTAAGGTGTAAGCATTTTTTTAGTGTGGAACTGTATCAAAATTCTATTGAATAGCAAAAGGGTTATCCTTCCAGTGGCTGTTCATTGTTCAGGTACACAAACCTACTTTGCCCAAGAAGATTCTCCTTTAAAACTCCAGTTGGGGTAGCAGGGAGTGGGAATTGTGGCAAAACAAATCCACAAATGTTGAGAGAAACTGAGTTAAGGTTAAAAATAATTCTCTCAAAGACAGTCAACTTCCACGTCCATACAGTTTATCTCAGTGGATGACTGACTTTTTGGAATGGTACGAGTTCAAGGACATTGTCTGTTTGTGCAGTTTAACCTGTCAGCAGGAGACGGCTGTGTTGTGTCTGGAGGGGTTTTGAACTGGGCTGTCAGAAGGCTGTCCTACACAACACAGCAGTCAGGAACACCTGGCTTGCCCATATGGTTTGTGAGTTCCCGTGGCATTCAAAGAGGCAGAGCAGAACTGGTAGTACAGCTGTCTTATGTATGAAGCAACCGTAGCTGTCAGCTCTACCACTGGCACTTTGAGTAGAAATTTCGGACAATTGGAAGGAGATCCCAGATGACTAGACCTATTGCATCTTCATGCACAGAGTTAGTATGTTCACATTTCAATTCAGATACACTAAAATATGCATTTTTCCCTACATATCACTTGTGCATAGCTTTGGGTATTTCATTCTGAGTTTCAGTTCTAGCTTGTCTGAAGGTAACACTCTCGTTTTACTGCATACCTGATTTTCAGGCCATCTGAACTGGGGAAGCTTCTGTTGCAATTACCTTAGCCTGCTGCAAAGTTTTATAAATCCCAACATGGGTAACCTGGCACTGCTATGTGGAAAGCTAATGGTGCCCTGGGGTACTTAAACTACTTTCTGCTGTAGCTGTTCAGGTGGTAGGAGCACCTGACAGCCCATTTTAACAAGGCATTTTTAATATCATTGGTGACGTGGAAAAGCATTTTGGTAGAATACTTGAATAAGGACACAGGTTGTCTTTTGGGTAATAAAGCAAAGGAAAGATAAATTGTCAAGTGTTTGAAAATTGGTCTTAATTTTTCTGTTGATGAAACTGTCTTTAAATGTTCCGAGTGAATCACTATGTCTAGTTTATTTTTTAAGAAAACAAAAAGTGTGTACTTCAGTAACAGCAACGTCTTATTTTTTTAATTTTAGGGAATAGCGGAGCCAGTAATTCAAAAGGAAGAAGTTTCATTGGCCAGAAAGTTACAAATGCAAATAATTCTGAAGAGTTGTACAAAGTGGATGAATTTGCAGCAGAAGTCCTCAGGGGAAAACTGACTACAGTTTTTCTTCCCATTGTCTATATTTTTGTCTTTATAGTTGGTTTGCCAAGCAATGCTGTGGCCCTCTGGGTCTTTTTTTTCCGAACAAAGAAGAAACATCCAGCTGTGATTTATATGGTTAACTTGGCATTGGCAGACCTCCTTTTTGTTGTCTGGTTTCCACTGAAGATTGCATACCATCTAAATGGCAATAACTGGCTATTTGGTGAAGGTCTCTGCAAAGTACTTGTTGGATTTTTCTATGGAAATATGTACTGTTCCATTCTCTTTATGACGTGTCTCGGTGTACAACGGTATTGCGTTGTAGTGAAACCCATGGCACATTCAAAAAAGAAATCAGAAATTGCCTTGGGCGTCTCCATTGCTATCTGGATAGTGATTTTGTTGAGCACCATTCCATTATATCTTGTTAATCAGACAGCATATATTTCAAATCTTAACACCACTACCTGCCATGATGTTTTGCCTGAAAATGTTTTGGCTCATGATATGTTCAGTTATTTCCTCTCACTTGCAGTTGGATTCTTCTTAATCCCAGCTATCGTCACTGCTGTTGCTTACATACTAATGATTAAGACTCTGAGTGCCTCTGTCATAGAAGATGGCAAGAAACGAATAAGAGCAATCAAACTCATTATCGTTGTCCTGT